AACACAAACAGTTTATTTTTGACAGCTAACAGCTGTGCCCCATAAATGGAAGAACAGCATAACAAAGAAGCAGCATATCTTGCGTCCCTTCCTGCAAGCCTGGGACCCCGGGTAGGCTGCGGATGAAGTGGAAGGTTGTCTCAGCTTCCGAGGTGCCGGTACCCAAAGCCCATCAGTGAGGTCCGATTTGCTAGGCTTTGAGGTAGCCTTAAATACAGTTTTCCTGCCTTGTTTGGCAGTTTGGAAATTTCCAGGGCTTACTCATTAGTGCTGATATAGAGCTTAGCTGTTAGTTATTGATCTGGTTCTCATCTGGTTCTTTTTGTCCTTTGGCCCTGTTTATGTGATCAGTACTTAAGGGTAAACAGAGTTGTTTGTGTTCTTGTCTTTTAACCTTATCTTATACTTGTTCTTGCTATGCTGGCAACAATGCTTATCTTAAGTGGCGTATGTTCCCAAAGACTTGCTTCTGGCTCATCAGATATAGGGGAAAGGGAAAGGGGGGAAGGAATGGAGGCCTCATCACCCCTAAACTATCATGTACAAAGTTCTTCCACAGTTGACCACTACACCAGTTAAATATAACATTTAACCAGTTCATCGATTAAATGGGATTTTATATCCCTAGTACAAAGAGAGAGCTTCATGTGTAGATTTGAGATTTTATGTTCTCCAATCAAGTTAAGAAAAACATGAACAAACATGGTAGATCTTTGATGTGACATCAATGATATCTGAGATTTTCTTTCATTAGCCATACTTCTCATACTTTGGATATCTAAATTCACATCTCAAAGAGGTAGCCATGTTAGTCTGTAACTAAAAAAACCTTAAAAAAACCCCAAAACAATGGTCATGTAGCACCTGAGAGACTAACCAAAAATGTAGATGGTATTATGAGCTTTCATCGGCACAACCCACTTCTTCAAATGACAAATATGGAGTAAGCGGTCCAAAGGTACAAATATATAGCAGAAAAAGAGGAGAGAGGGGGAGGAAAAAATATTAATTAAAGTGTCTGTCCTAAGTGAAGCTAATAGAGTGGGCTGTGAGCTCAGTCACCAGCTGTGCAGTGGCTTCATCAGGGATATTTCTCCTGACACTACAGTACAATTAAATGATGGCCATGTTTCCACCATTTTATATCAGTAACCTACCGATAGTTATACTTACCTACATGCTTCTAGCTTTCATCCAGGACACATTACCCAATCAACTGTTTACAGCTAGCCCCTAAGATACAACTGGATTTGCTGCAGTCCCACAGACAGAGACAAACACATACAGGATCTCAGTTAGTCATTTCTAAAACTTAAATACCTGCCTGGGGAAGTGAAAAAACAGATTGGCACAGCCAAATGAGAACCCAGGCATCAACTTCTTCAAGATAGACCCCAAAAACCAATAACAGAATACCACTAGTCATCATTTACAGCCTCCAGCTTAAATCCCTCCAGTGCATCAATAACAATCTACAACCTAGCCTGGAAAACAATCCCTCACTCTCAAAGGCTGTGGGAGACAGGCCAATCCTCACCTACAGACAATTCCCTAACCTGAAACAAATTCTTTCCAGCAGCCACGCATCACACCTCACTCGTATTCATCCAGGAACCCCTGCAATAAATTCCAGGGCCAGCTCTGTCCACACATCTACACGAACAACATCATCACAACACTTAGCCACAACTGCGTATCTACTAATGTGATCCATGCCAGCAATGCCCCTCTGCCATGTATATTGGCCAGACGGGACAATCTCTACAACAAAGGATTAATGGACACAAATCAGATATTCAAAATGGTAACACACAGAAACCTCTTGTGGAACATTTTAACTTGCCCAGACACTCATTAATGGATCTAAAAGTGGCTGTCCTCTTACAAAGTAATTTCAGGAACCAGCTAGAGAGTCTGTGGAACTGGTCTTCATATGCAAATTTGACACATTCACTTAAGGATTGAGCCAAGTCTTATCTTGGATGGGCCATTATATTCAATACCCAAATGCTAAATATCGGGCACTTACAGCACACTCTATAGCCTCATTTAGCACAGATACATTAATTGACAGTTCCCCCCCCTCTTCGCCCCTCTTTTTCTGCTATATATTTAAACCCTGAATCCCTTGCTCCAGATTTGTCATCTAAAGAAGTGGGTTGTGCCCACAAAAGCTGATAATACTATCTATATTTTTATATTTATATCTAAATTATTCACATGATCAAGATTTTTAATGTTTTGAAATTTGAAAAAGTGGCTGTGACGGAAAGTCAGATATTTCCCAATTCATGTAAGCTACAAAGCAACTTGCTAATGTTTTATAATATTTTGAATTTAAAGGAGCGTCTGATTGCTTAATCCTTCTGAAGGCTGTAAAATGTTCTAATGCCGTATAACTTGTATTAATAAACAAGTGGAAGAAAAGTTATTTCCCTTCTGGTTATTGACTGTTGCTGGTGCTATTGCATTGCAATTTCAAGCGTTTATCTGTAATCATGTTTAACCAGACTGGCTAGAATCTTACTCTTTTTTATCAAATGAAAGTTGAAATTCTCATATAATCAATTTCCTCCATAATCTGGGACATTATGTAAAACACAGAATATGGCAAGATTCATACTAAAGTCAAGAAAATTGTCAACGTTGCGAAGTGAAATGCTTTTCTCTTCATTTATGTCTGTCAAGTGTTGTAAGGAAATTTATCTGTGTGCATTATTATATATGTATATTCAGTACTGGTTGTTTATCTCAGTGAGTTTCCTGTTTATGACACTGTTTGCTAGTTTATTGCCTCATCTTCTAAAGGGTTTTTTGTTATAAATATTTTTATTGAGTCTTCTAAAGCGTAAATCTATTCCTAAAGGAGGCACTATTATTGTATCATGGACTCTTTTTCATATGCTTCCCTGTACTAGTCATTTTCTGTTGTATGCTTTCAGACTGATTCTTGTACACTATAATCTTCTACTAACAAGTAAAGCAGTTGCTTTCCAAATTTTATCTGTCAGATTTTGAGCTGCAGATCATGCTCCATCTGATGCATAGCGTGGTTCAAAACAGAAGTTCTAACAGCTGTAGACCTGTCTTACATTTTAAGTTTATTGGCTACTTTCAAGTACCTGAATATATATTAAAACAAAGGAACAGCTTAAGTCAAGAATTGCAACTCTCTTTGTTTTAACATTTGCCTTCAAAATGTGAGGAGCTTTTGGAAAACCTTTTATCTTTCAAATTTTTGTCAGCCACTACTGCATATATCTGTTGTAAAAATTATAACAGCAGAAAACAAAAGAGATGTTTCCTGTGAGTGAAATAGATAGAGGAAAAGGAAAAATTGGCTAAACATAACTCATGCACCAACACAGCTAATGAATTCTGAGAGAGAAGCTACATTTTTTTCTTAATTACTAGTTTTCACCTACTTCTCATGTACTAAAACATTGTTTGCTCTATTGGCAACATATGGAAAACTTTGAAATCATGAAATCTGAAATATGTTCAAACCTGAATGTTATAGTGTTCTGTACTATCAAAACACTAACCCATTTTCACCACAACCCAATGTAATGTTCAATCATTTCAGTGCTACACTTACATCCCAGCTGTAATGGTATTTGAAATCCTTGCCATGATGTATGGTGGATGTATTCCCTACTCTAGCCACAAGACTTGCTTGCATTTTCTGTGCAAGGATTCTATCCACTTGATGAATGTACTGTATCCAAGCAGAGAGAAGTGGTATTTTGCATGGAATATTGTACCTAAGTTCAGTGTATATACTTATTTCATTAAGAGTTACGCTAAAAAAAAACCCCACAGATAGCCTAGGTCAAATGATTTGGTCTTAAGGGTTGAAAGATTGCAGTGTAGATGCTCAGGCTTAAGCTGCAGCCTGAGCTCTGGGATCCTGAAAGCCTAAGTCAGTGGACCCAGGCAAGTCTTGGCTGTGCTGTGTTGCTTTTATTCCTGTGTGTACCCTCAAAATCAGCATTTCAGAGATGCTCAGCATCCGCAGCTTTTATTAACATCAGTTGGAGTTCTCAGTGGTCAGTGCCTCTGCAAATCTGTCCTTAAATAAATAATCCACCAGTCTTTATTTGCGGACACCCCCAACTTCAAGTTAAGTATTACAGTAGTCCATGAGGGAACTTTCTGTACTTGGTAGTACTATCATTAGAACTACCAGTCAAAGGCATTCAGAGGCTATTGGCTGAATTCTTTCTGTACAGGCACAGTGAAAGGAGGTTTGTGACTGTAACTCACTGGTTCTACTTTTGCTTGAAGACAGCTGCAATGGAATTTCACTCTGCCTTGATCCCTGTTCTTCCCTCCCTTTCCCTTACCTCCCTTCCCCATCTTTGACACAATTTCTGCACCCTTATACAGGAAAGTGCCTCCCAGTAAAGGAGGAAGCCAGTGGAGCAGGTGCAAGAGGCAACTTCTAGTAGCCTCCTTCACATCAGACAGCGATTGCCCTTGTGAACAGGCACTATTCCAACAATGTACATTCACTTTGCTCTGTTTGTGGCAGACTGGAGAATCCAGCCCTACATGTGTGCATTACTGCATTACATAGTAAGAAGCAGGGATTGCACATGTTTGAACTAATTAAAGTTTTGCAAATGTTAGGGCCAGACTGTGATGTCCTTACTCACATGGGGTCAGACCATCAACTGGAATAAACAGTCAAAGAATCACATATGTGACGTTGATTGATACCAGCTGAGAATCTGGCCCATTGATTTCACATGGAGTTAAGTATTTCTTCATATGAGAGCAAATCACAGTTTGATCCTTAGTAGTTATCAGATAAAATATAAAAAATGGAGGGTCAAATTAAAATATAGCCTATAGCAAATGATATGTTAAGGTCAGAATTGAATTCAGATATGCAAAGACTAACTGAGCGGTGCGTTGCTGTTATTGGATAATTAATTGTTCCAATGTACATGTTTTTCTGCCTTGCTTATTTATTTTTTTAACTTTTCATATTCTAGCCAAACTCCAAGACATATTCACAAAGTGGCAGACACTCTGTATCTGTAGAAGTTCAAATGCAGCGGCAACGACAAGAAGAAAGAGAGAGTTTCCAACAAGCTCAGCGCCAGTATAGTTCATTACCCAGGTATAGTAACTGTCTAAAACGATTTGGTCTATATGAGCCTGCAGCAGTGATTTCTTTTTTGTGGAAGGTGGGCATGTAAAATCCCATTTCATCAGTTAACTGGTTAAACATATTGTTTGATGGGTTAACCACTTAAACAGAGGCCCGTGGGGGGCAGCTCCTGCCCAGCTAGGCAGGAGTGGCCTTCAGCCCCACATGGCCATGGGTGGAAGATGCTCCAGCCAGCTCTGCCCTCAGAGTGCTGCTCTAGCCAGGCCTGCTGCAGCCCCACTGGCTGGAGCAGCCCCCCACTGCTACTCCAGACCCTGCCCATTAACCGTAACCAATACATTGTTCACATCCCCAGTGGAAGGAAAATTCTGTGGTTAGTGCATGCTTTTTGTTTAACAAAAGTATAAGGAATAATGTTAGGGTACATAGTGTACATCTTTCAAATTGTACACACCCTTGTCTCACCTCCTACCCTGCCACTTCTCTAAGGCTCCATCCCCCTCCCTCTTTCACTTGTTCTCCCTTACCTTCACTCTATCTCACTGAGCTAGGGCAGAGAGTTGGGATGTGGGAGAGGATGAGGGCTCCAGCTGGTGGTGCAGGGTCCGAAGTGGAGACCCAAATGAAGGGCTAAGAATGTGGAAGGGGCTGTGGCTGGGAGGGTTTTGGGTTGCAGGAGGGGATCCTGGCTGGGGCCAAAAGGTTTGGAGTATTGGAAGCAGCTTAGATGGTTGAGGTTCAGAAGAGGTAGCAGGGTGTGGGCTCTGGCTGGACAGCACTTACCTCAAGAAGCTCCTGGAAGTGGATAGAATGACTGCAGTTCCCCACCAATGGGAGTTCTGGATCTGGCATTCAGAAACCTTGTGGCCACCCCTGCATGTAGGAACTGCAGGGACGTGCTGGCTATTTCTGGGAGCCATGCGGAGCCTGGGCAGACAGGGACCCTGCCTTCACTACACTGCGCCACTGACCAGACTTTTTTCAGCCTGGTCAGCACTGCAGAGCAGAGACATCAGGAGTCCTTTTCAATTGGCCATTCTGGTCAAAAAGCGGACACCTGGCAACCCGAAGTAATGCATGCAATGAGGAAGAGACATCAGGTTCCATAAGTGATAGCATATAGTGGCTATTTTTTCTTAGGGTTACTTTAGAGTTGACTACAGAGGGAGCTGAGGGCACTCAGCACCTTATAGAATCAACACCTTACAGCATGCATCATGCATCCTCATGGACCACTAAATAGTATCACTTGTCACTTCTATGAAAGAATCTGTTGTGTATGACATATATAAGAAGAGAAAAAGCAAATTCAGTGGTGATGCACCCTTTTGTGTGTGCCATATTTTTTGTGTTGCTTAATTTCTTCCCACACACAGTCATATATTTTAAAAAGAAAAAAAAAATCAAACAAAAGAACATGAAGATAACTGAAACATTATCCAAAACTGAGCCACATCCAAGTTTCTGGCATACTGGTGTCTTCAAACTTACTGGATCATTAACATTGGAATGCTGACAATTAATATCCTTTAGTCTAAACAAAGCTGTACTTATAAAAAGTTCAGAGGTCAGTGAACTGCTTAGAGTTAATTTAAAAAACAAAGCCAAATATGAAGTAAAAATGAATAGTCAGAATTTTACCCTGTTTGTAGTGTAGGTCTGTGTTTCTCAAACTTTTTTTTATAAAGTACCCCTTTTAAAAAAATTGTAAGTACCCCCAGTACCTACAGTTTTCAGAGACACAATTTTTTTTTCTATCATTGCAACACATTTGTTTAAACAACTTAATTGTAGCTGGCAGGCAATTAAATTTTTGCGTGTAAAAAGTACAAAAATAATAAAGTGCTGTAAAACTTAAAACAAATATTCAGTTTTCTCCAAATTTCAGTTGTGTTGACGTGCCCCCCAGACTTCTCTTGAGTACCCCAAGGGTACTCTTACCACTGATTGAGAAACACTGGTGTAGGTTACATCAGAGGCTATATTTGAACATTGTATGTGAATGTGGATAGATTTTAGAATTCTCAAACATTGATTGGGGAAATCTGTGACAAAAACTGAGGCAGAAATGAGCTGCCTTTCACTAGCAGTACTTTAAACTTGAAAACTTCCTTGATTTGGGTGTGCCTTACGTATTTATGTTGCCCTTGCTTTGGTCTCTATACATAGATTTTGTGGAGCAGGTAATGATAATGGTAATCTGCACACCAGGAACTGCTGAAGCTTTGCAAAAGTGGCCATTTTACTATTTTATTGTGCATCAACCATTGAAGCTTCATAGTTAAAAGTGAAGTTAAATCATTAAATCCCTGATTTTAAACCCCATCATCACATCCACTGTTCCACAAATGAAACAACATCTCTTGATTTTTCATTTGCCACGTTCAAAGTAGAATATTTCTGGGAAATTTGGAAGAAAATGAAAAATGGAGATTTAAAATTATGATGCTTGGGGTTTTTAAAAAAAATTTTAAGGAAACTTTTCAAAATGACAGTTACATAAATGTTTTTCTCCCTTATATCTCTTCCTGTCTGTAGAGTGGCTTACACTACCAACCTCTTGTTAGTTTTGCTGAGGAGATTTACAGAGGAGATTCTCATTGGGTACTTAGAGTTGCAAATCCCTTGGAAATGGACATTCTCCTCCAAAACTGAGATGTTTGTAGCTGAACAAAACATTTTATACTATAGCCTCCATACTCTATGTGTCTAATTCTCTAATCTGTGATATGGACTGTGGAAGGCAGAAGGGGAAGTGGTTCTGAACGCTGCTGCTCCCCCTCTCCCTAGCTGGGGAAATGGCAGCGCAGCAATGAGCTCTGCCAGAGATTTTTCCCTGCTGTTCCCATAGTGGCAGGATATGGTGCCTCGGAATGGCAAGGGATGCAGAGTACCACGTAAGTGCCCATCCCCCTCACATCCTCTCTGGCCTGGCAAATTCTTTAATGTGGCAAATCCTGTTTTCCAAGGTTGTCGAATTAAGCAGTTCAAGTGTAGTTCTTTCAAAAGTTTACAATTGACCTTTGACTTAGTATAGCTTTGCAACTGTACTGTGCATAGGAAAAATCATGCTTTATTAGTAGTTTGTGTTTAATGCAGTACTGTATTGTATTTGCTTTTTGGGAGATCAGGGGAAGAAGAAGTCTCTGCTGCTGTGTATTTTCAGTGGCAAATGAGCTGTGGGTTGATCGGTCAATTTGTAACTCTAATGTTTGTAACTGTGAAGTTCTATTGAATGTTTTAGGCACTTAGTATGTCTTGCAAAGGATGAGGTAATTGAAAAAGCTAAGTGAATACGAAAAGGTTCTGATTAAGTTTACATACGTAAAACTAACTTTGGCACAGAGTGGCTTCACTAGAAGAAGGATGCGGAGGAGTTCCACTGTATGTAAAATAGTAATATGATTGCTCAGAGCTCCAGTATGAAACTGGAGAAAAGCCCGTTGAAAGTCTTTGTGTTAAGATTAAAGGCAAGAGCAACCAGTGTGTAATATCGTGGTGGGCATTTGCTATAGACCACCAGACCAGGAGGATGAGGTAGACAAGACTTTCTTTGGACAACTAACAGAAGTTTCCAGATCACAGGCCCTGGTTCTCATGCGGGTCTTCAATCATCCTGACATCTGCTGGGTGAGCAATACAGCAGGGTGCAGACAGTCCAGGAAATTTTTGTAGTGTCGAGAACTTTGTGGTACAAGTGCTGGAGGAACCAAATAAGAGTTATGCTCCTCTTGATCTGCTACTCAGAAGCAGGGAAGAATTGATAGGGGAAGTAGGAATAGATGACAACCTGGGCAGCAGTAACCATGAGATGGTCACATTCAGGATCCAAAGGAAGAAAGGAGAGCAGAGCAACAGAATACAGATGTTGGATTTCAGAAAAGCAGACTTTGACTCCCTCAGGGAACTGATGGTCAGGATCCCTTGGAAGTCTAATATGAGGGGAAAGGAGTTCAGAAGAGCTGGCAATATTTTAAAGAAGTCTTATTGCAGGCACAGAAATAAACCATCCCCATATGCAGAAAGAATAGCAAATATGGCAGGACATCATTTTCGTCCCAAATTAATTGATGCAATTACAGTTTTATGCTTAACACAGATGCATTGATTTTATTCTAAAACTTGGTTACTTTCCATCTTGTGTAACTTTAAGTAGTCTAATTTTTTTAACATTTTTACTTTAATGTTGAGTGTTTTAAACAAATAAAAAACTCTTCAATCATGTTTAAGAAATCTTCCCAAAAAGACAAGACAAATGGTCCAACTAATTTTGAACAAGTACCAGAAAATAGTTATTAAATGAAGTCTATTCAATTAGTCATTTCCCATTACCCATGTGAAACTTTTCAAAGTAATGATTAACTCCAAGCTTTTCCTTCATGTTGAAAAATTATGTTTCCATATGTCAGAAATTTTGGAAACCTTGTATCCAAAGGGTCATTCAGTTTGCTCCTGTGCCAGTAAGTGATAGAACTATGACCCCAAGACCTTGTTTTGTAAAGAAGGGTAGGTGAACATCAAAAATAGTTTATATGGAATAGTAAAAGTTACCATCGAGTATCCCTGAGTACATTACAAATGGCCATAAATATGGTCATCTCCAAGTTGCACATGTGGAAAGAGAAACACAGAGGGGTTAAGTGACTTGTCTCATAAGTCTGTGGCGGGAAGACTACCCATATCATCCAGTCCACTAAGCCAAAACTGAACTTTGCTGTTATTCTGTGTGTTGACATGAAAAACTGAACTCTATATATAGCAGTTAAATGACTTTGTTATTGATTAATGCAGCAATATATTTTGTTTTACTGCTTGATTCGCTTTCACTAATTTTAATCTCAAAGTGGATATCTCTCTTTTTCCAGCACAAAATTGTTTTACTTTATCATATCCAATCTTATTTTAAATTCATAAAAGCATCTAGTGGCTTGATAGTAAATTAAAGATATTTCAAAACAATAATGTTTCCTTGAAATAATGTGGTGATTTATTGCAAAAAAGCAATAAGAATTTGTAATTCCTGTATGCATTTGATTTATTTATCTACCCTGTGGAGCCAGAAAATGAGCAAACTAGGTTATCCTTGCCATTCCTTTCATGAAAAATATAGTATGCCAGAAAACAATTCTGATAATACAAAACTCCCTAACTCTGGATTCTGGAGGAACAAAACCTCATTGGCACTGTACATCAGTGAAGAGTTTTGTCAACAGATTGATACAGCTTTAAAGCAAGTATTTAAAGGATCAGCTTGATGCCTTTTTAATCAGATAGGAGTTTAGATTTGAATCTTTCATAACTGTCTTACCATTCATTACACGTTCTTGCTGTTATCTGGTTTCTCTGGCACTGTGGCGATGTTTTTACAGTCTGTTTTGTTGGCTCAGAGCTGAATTATAACATTTTTAAAGATTCTAATTATTGTTGTACTGGCTGCCGAATTCCATACCCCCTACTGAAGTGCTTTGGAAATGCATCTAAAATGCAAGAGGGAAAGTGGCCATTTTGGGGGAGTGAGAAAAACACTTATCAAGAAATCTACTAGTTACAAGGCTGACATCTGCTGAGAGTCCCATTGGTGAGTGGAGGGAAAAAGTTGACTCTTGACCAACCAGATCCCCCTATCAACACCAAAAGAACAAAAAATTCTATGTGGACTCCCCTGATGGTCGTAATTACAATCTGAATTTCTACATACAATGCTTCCACAACAATGCACAGACTGACATTATACCCAAACAACAACAAGTGACATACAGTCTCAGCCGCACTGAACGCTATGCTATCCAGAGTCTCAAAAACAACCCTGACATTATAATCAAACCAGCTGACAAAGGGGGTGCTGTTGTCATTATGAATGTCAGACTATGACCAGGAAGAAACTAGACAACTCTCTAATACCAAATTTTACAGACCTCTCTCCTCTGACTCTACTTCAGAATGCCAAAAGAAACTACACTATCTCCTTAAGGAACTCCCTGCCTCTACTCAGGACCAAATTCACACAGAAACACCTTCTGAACCCCAACCAGGATTGTTCTATTTGCTTCCCAAAATCCATAAACCTGGACACCCCGGACATCCCATCATTTCAGGTATTGGCACACTCATTACCGGATTATCCAGCTATGTAGACTCTCTCCTCAAACCCTATGTAACCAACACTCCCAGCTATCTCCGAGATACCACTGACTTCTTGAGAAAACTACAAAACATCAATAACCTCCCTGATAATACCATCCTTGCCACCATGCATGTAGAAGCTCTCTACACCAATATTCCACATGAAGATGGATTACAAGTGATTAGAAGCACTATCCCAGAGGATACCACAGCCAATCTGGTAGTAGACCTATGTAACTTTGTTTTCACCCACAATTATTTCCAATTTGGAGACAACTTTTACCTCCAGATCAGCGGCATGGGTACCCGCATGGCCTCACAGTACGCTAACATCTTTATGGCTGACTTAGAATGTTTCCTCAGATCCCATCTCCTTTTATCCCTCCTTTACTTACGCTACATCAATGACATCTTTATGATCTGGACCCATGGCCAAGAAACACTGGACACATTCCACAGAGACTTTAACAACCTACACCCCACCATCAATCTCAGCCTGGACCATTCAACAAGAGAGATCAAGTTCCTGGACTCCACAGTACAAATCACTAAATTAAATACCACCCTCTACAGAAAACCCACTGACTGCTATACTTACCTACATGCTTCCAGCTTCCATCCAGGACACACCATACGATCCATCGTCTATAGTCAAGCCCTTAGGTACAACTGCATCTGCTCTAATCCAAGTGACAGAGACCAGAAACTTCAAGATCTCTACCAAGCATTTGTAAATCTCAATTACCCACCAGGGGAAATAAAAAAAACAAATTGAAAGAGCCAGACGAATACCCAGAAACCATCTACCTCAAGATAGACCCAAGACAACCAATAATAGAACACCACTTGTAACCCCTCCAATGCATTATCAATAACCTACAACCTATACAGGAACAGGATACGAATTGGGGGGGTAGTGTAGACATACCCGGAGAGGCTCTGGAGGACAGACTCGTAGTCTCCTATAGACAACCATCTAGTCTCAGGAAGATTCTTACCAACAACCACAGGACATACCACATTAATACCAACCCTGGAACTTTCCCTTGCAACAAACCCTGTTGCCAACTTTGTCCACATATTTACTCTGGTGACACCATCACTGGACCTAACTATGTCAGTTATATGATCAAGAACACATATTCCTGTTCATCCAGAAATATAGTTTCTGCCATTATGTGCCAGTGGTGTCCTTCTGCAATGTGTATTGCACAGACTTCTCAGATACTTCACCAAAGAATTAATGCCCACAAATCAGACATCAGACATCTTCACAAGGAAAAACCAGTTGCTTTTCATTTCAACCTACCTGGACGTAGTCTTAATGACCTTACTACATGCAACTTACTTCAAAGAAACTTTAACACCAGATTACAGAGGGAAACTTCAGAACTTTCATTCATGCATAAATTTGACACTTTACGAATGGGCTTTAACAAAGATGTTAATTACCTTACCCATTACAAAGAAAGCTTCCCCACTTATCACCCCGATTAGCCATTCATTGACTCATAAATAGCTAGTTCCTCCCTTCCTCCCTCTTCCTCACCCCACCTTCTGTACTAAAGCTGATTTGTCAGTTTAATAATGTGTTCACTTTTTTCATTGTATTCCTTTGGTATATATGGTCGTGGCAGTTCTTTTCCAGAATATGATCTGAGGAAGTGGGTCTGGCCCATGAAAGCTCATCATCTATTAAACCATCTTATTAGTCTTTAAAGTGCTACATAGTTTTTTCCTTTTGTTTTATTCTTCTAATGATTATTATTTAAACAATAAGAGAATCCTGCAGATTTCTCCTAAAAATATTTTTTCTGTTCTTATTTTCAGGCAGAGTAGAAAAAATGCAAGTTCTATATCTCAAGATTCCTGGGAACAGAGCTACTCTCCTGGTGAAGGGTTCCAGACTGCAAAGGAAAACCCCAGGTATTCCAGCTATCAGGGATCAAGAAATGGCTACATGGGAGGCCATGGTTTCAATGCCAGGGTAATGCTGGAAACACAAGAACTGCTCCGTCAAGAACAGAGGCGGAAAGAGCAACAGCTGAAAAAAAAAATGTCTTCTGAAGGGACGAACAACTATGACTCATATAAGAAACTTCAGGACCCTAATTATGTCCCTCTGAAAGGTCCTTTCAGGCAAGATGTGCCACCTTCTCCATCTCAGGTAGCCAGGCTGAACAGATTACAAACTCCAGAAAAGGGAAGGCCATTTTATTCTTGAGTTGAAGAAAAAGATGAGCAACATATCATGCAATAAGGAACATTTCCATAAAAAGACTTGTATTTCAAAAAACTGTTTAAACTGATGGTACTAAGGAATATGTCTGTTGTCTGTTTCAGTGCCTTTAGCAATCGGGGCAAAGAATTAATAGGCCTTAAGTCTTTGCCATTCTGTCCCAAGTGTTATTTTCATGGAAGGCTTTTCTATCATTTGACAATCATACTATAGGTAAGCAATGTGTTGGTTACCAAACATTCTAGCTGTCAGTGGCTTATTATTCAGATTTGCTCTAATGTGGTCTACTTTGCGACAAATTATTGCACCAACATACAGCATTGTGGCATAAATTAATGAATTTGAAGGTGAAGAAGGCATTGACACATCTCTATTATTTCTCATGGGGTAGGGACCGGGATACATATCACTCTTGAGTGGTTAGGGCTTAAGTCCACTCAAGATCATGTTCTAAGTTGTTTTATGGTGGAGTCATTTACAGTCTTTGTTGATCAATATTTAATTGTCTATATGCTAAAAAAATGTTTTTCTCCTGTTATGCGCACATTCTCTTTCTCTGAGCTCATATAAAAAATCTTTATCCTGATTCATAAGCAAAACAATATTATGGCTTTCAGTTAACCTGGGAATCCTGTTACAGTGTCTTATATCTTAACATGTAGTACTTTACCCGTGAAATAACTAAAGAGAGGGTATTACATTTATAAATTAAACCCCAGTCCAGACAAGGACAACTATATTTGTTCTTTTGTGAAATATGAGGAATCGTGGAAAAATGTAAGGCTAAATAGTGGTTTGATTTCCTTAACAATTTATTGGGTCATGTGAAAATTTTATCTAAGAAAAGAATTAGGGAAGAATTACCCTGACAATCATCATATATATGATTACAATGAACTTATCTATATTATGGCAGGGTTGGGAGGAGGGCTTAAAGCAAGACAAGATTTAAATCAGATTTTTTTTTATCTGAAAGCTGAAGAACGAACAAACAAACAATCCCCTTAAAGCTCTTATTTCTATAATTTGCCACATTTTAAGGATAATCACCTTGTGATTATATACTGTACCTACCACAACAAAAAGGAACTCAAAATGCATTAATAAGAGATAAATGGAGAAAATTGGTTACACATCATCCTGAAAACATGTTAGTGTCCAAAAATAACTGAAATAAAAAGATTGCTCTAGCAGTGATATTTTAATGTGCATATGGGATATGAGAATTTCTTTTGCAGTGGCTGTTTTTTATGTTTGTTGGTCTGAACTTCATGTATGGTAAAAATATAGTTGGGTTGCTAAAGTGCCTGCAAATTCTCATGTGAAAAGGCTTGAGATTAAGACTCAACGGTTCATGCTTAAAAAAGAAAAAAAAATAAAGAAAAATCGTATATTGTGTGATTTAAAAAATGCCTTTTTTTACTGGCACATTTTATTTTTGCATCAACCAGTTTTTAGAATATATGTAAAATTTCAGCACATGTATCAGTCTTTATGCCTGTTTGTTAATGGTTTTTGTTGTTAATACTGTACTCCAGTGTTTGTTACTAATGTAAGCACAGTGACATTGGAAAACAATGGCTCTTTTATGCAGAGTTTACAAAACTGTGTAAAATGGCTTTTCCATGTATATAAGAAATTTAGAATAAAAGGCTCTTTCCATTCTGGTCTTAGTATTTCCTGTTCTATTCCTTAGTATTGCCTGCAGAACCTTATGAAAACTGCAACAGTCGTTACTTTTCAAATATTTAACGGATGTTATTTTATCATATTCTTAATGGTTCCTGTCTTTCTCTGAGTCCTTGTAAATAAATAAATAAATAAATAAATAAATTACTGCTCATCTGAGCACCTGAAGGCCCCTTCAAAAAATATGCACTGAAATCTCTAATGAAATCTCTAACATATTGAAATCTCTAACGATAGCACAGATCTGTGATATTGAAACACTAGTTTCTTAATACCAAATTCTGAGGCAGTCTTCAAAGACCATTTCTCTCTGCATATCTTCACTGGAGGTGGGGCCATAACGGGCAAAGTTGTATGGATCCATAAGTTACATAGATGCATTGGTCTCAATCCTTTGCTAAGCCAGAGTTGCAAAAGCTGGTTACAGAATGTCTCTACTGGTGCTCCGTAGTCAAAATGCATCAGATTCTTTCCCCAGCAGGCCAGCATGAAGATCCCTTTCCAAAGACTGTTTACTCAGGCTTTCCTCAAGATTTAAGGCTTTGGATCTTAAAGAAAGGTGTCAATACTGGACAAAATTTGAAAAGAGAAGCCTTATAGATACAGCATTGTTACTGAGCCAGCGCATCTGTTTCCCTTGTCAGTATTGAACCTGGGTGTCTGCTTTTGTCGCTTTTCACACAGCTTCTCCTGATCTTGGATCCTCCAGTAATGTCAATCATAATTCTATATGTGCATGACATGTGTGTTGCCAGGGAAGTAATAATGTCAAATCATGCACTGTGATTATTGTAGGTTCTCCAGAGGAAATTAAAGATTGGACTGAAAGGTACACAAGCAGTTTTTGATGCACAAATATATTCTAAGACTTGATTTTGAAAAGTAGCCTAGATTTTTGTGACATGCAATTGAGAGTAGCCAAATAGAATTGCTCACTCAGTATTGCAATACCAACTGCCATTTAGATATCTCACCTCCTCACTGTGACTGCAAATCAGCTAGTTTGATGTTGTTATGGTAGCTGTTGTACTCATAAATAACTGGGCACTAAATTGCATCCAAAAAATGGATTTTTTTTCAAAATTAGGCTTTTGATAAACGGTTGCAAGAAAAAAGAACATGCATGGGAAAGTATTGAAAGCCCGATGAAAGGTGTTTTAAATGCAAATATAGCATATGTTATAGTTTACCCTTGCACGAAAGTGTCTCTTCAAGGCATTAACGATTTGCCATAATTAGATGTTTTCATAAGAATAAGCCATTGTACTCTGGGCAATGTCTGTATTTTGTTAGCTAAATTTTTTTGCCTTTATCATCCTGTCTTTTTTCTGACATTGCATAGACAGGATTTTATTATTAATTTTCATAAGTTGTAAAGGGCAATTAGGAGGAAGGACCAAGATGTTTTAAGAAAGTTGACCTTTAATTCTGACTGGTGAATAACCCAAAAGCTAATTAAAGAAAGTACATTACTAGTGCAGTTCATTTGTGGACCAGTTAATATTATGAGATTTACTCTGGTCGGTTAGTCATGAGATGAAATTTAAGGGAGCTTTTAGATGGAATGAACAGTGGATATTATCTTACAAAAGCAGTCAAGATTCTTTTCTCTTTAGATATCCTAAAGTCATCTGGGAATCCTACTGTTGTTTTGTCAAAATAACTTGTTAATGCTGTTGAAATTCCATGGGAGAGTTTTATATTATAAACTCTCCTGCTTGTCTCCTGCTTGTCTGTAAAAGTATGTTTCCTTTCTTGCTAGAGGGCCTCCCTGAAAATAAGACTGTGGCCTCAGAGAGTTATTTTTTTTCTGGCCCAAATATCTGAAAGTACATCTTTGAGGACTCTTGCCATCAAAAACAGTTAAAGTGGCTTGATGCCCAGCATAGCACGGATGTGAAATACAGCTGCCATTTATTGCTGGCATACAGCAACAAGGACAACAAAAGAAAATTTTAAACTAATCATGACCTTGGATATATTGTTCAGATTTCAAGAATCTACTGATGTCTGGCTCATGTTCTTTCTGTTTGAGTGTAAGTGGCATCACATTTATCTCTGCTGCGTATGTTGGGAAGAGGCACTGGTGAGACAATGCAGAGATGTGCCAGATGAGCAGTGTCGGCTGAAGACAGGATACACTTGAGTAATTCAAACCTTTGAACTTATTTGTTGAGTCTTAAAGTGATTTTGGCTATTACATGTCCTGGCTTGCAATTCTATTTTCAAACATTCTCTAATTTTATTTGCTGGGCTTGACTGTTTCTTCATCTCATTCTATACAGTCTTCAGTGTGGTTCTGAGCATGAATACGTGGGACAAAATTCATTTACCCTTCATCTTACCATTGTGTCAGCCCACCCTGGGCTTGCAGACTCACTCTTAAAATTGCATACCAGTGAAAATATTTTGTTACTATAATAATAAAGTGTAAATTGCAAAAGCAAACATGAGCTGTGAGAACAGAGAAATATTAAAATACATTTGCTGGAGCTCAGGAGGAAAGTATCAGTCACAAGCAAGAAGAAGCCTGGGGTTTTTAGGGGGTCCTGTGCCACCAAGAGAAGCAAATAAAGGCAACTGAATTCAGAAGCAGGTGCAAAAGAGATACAAAATGATGCTGCTCCAAAAAAGAAAAAAATGAATGTGAGGTTTGTGAAACGGTAATAATTTTCATCAAATCATCTTCTATTGTACAGATGGAAGAAAAACCTGTAAGAAATGTTATAAAACAGTTGAAGAGGGTTTCATGCTGGACATGAATTAAGAGCAAATTTAATCTCATTGCCCATGCATACACTCAACCCTATCACAGAATAATTTGCCATTCTGGGTTAAAAACCCATCATCCATTTGTCTGTTAAAATGGATATTACTATATTAGTACTTATTGTTGGTATTATAATCATGCCCACAACAGGACAGGCACTATCCAAAGAAATAGTAGTTCCACTGTGAATAACTCACAGTGAGAGGTTCAGTGTACACTTCTGGTGGTGTGTAGAGTACAGACGCAACATGCCCAACTATCACACGTATAAATAGCAGTGAGACGTTGATTACCCGTGTAGTGTCTCACTGCTTCTGCCCTTGTTGCTGAGGCCTTTTTCCACCTCCACTCTGGCCCCATTGCTGGAGCCTTTCCCCAGGAAGACTCTTTGACAGTAGGAAAAGGCTCTGGCAGGTGAAATGTTGTGGGGAAAGGCTCTGGCAGCTTTTCCCGACAGCCAGAGTCTTTCATTACCACATGTAGCTATACACTGCATTGTGGACACAAGACACTGCTCTGTGTAACTACACATACCCTATGTCAGTGGTCCCCAACGCGGTGCCCATGGTTGCCATGGACCAGCTGAGTGATCAGGACTGGCCCAAGCCATTCTTGTGCCCCGGGCACCCGGCGCATGCACAGCTCTGCCCCCGGACACCCGGCAGCCCCCAAAAGGTTGGAAACCACTGCCCTATGTAGTGCTTCTTATAAGGACAAGGTTTATGAAAACAAGCTAAAAAAAATATGGGATGGGGAAGAGAAAAGTGTGTGTGTGTGTGTGTGTGTGTTAGACTGTGAGTTTCTTAAGTCAAGGACTGTACTTATTTTGTATCCTGTAATCTACTGAGCATATTGTTCGTGGGTTATAAATAATAAACAGTTTGGATTTCCGATTTAACATTTAAAAAGGTATTTTTAAAGTTAGCATATTCTGATTTTTATAGAGTTTTACACTTGAACCCCACATTTTCATTTTCTGAGTACTCATGGTTCCAGTGATATTCCCATTTCAAGTACAGGCAACATCACTGGACCCAGTAATTCCTCTAAAACGAGGATGGATTTTTTAAAATGACCTCAGTCATATAGTTATATTTGGCAACATGCTCATACTGCACCAGAAGAGCCAGAGGAACTTGTTAATTTACTCAGCTAGTCATACAATACTTATAGGGCTGGATTATTAATATTGGAATGACATATTTTTCTGCTATAAATAAAAACAACCTAAACTGCGTGGCTACATCTAGACTAGCATGATTTTCCGGAAATGCATTTAACAGAAAAGTTTTCGTTAAAAGCATTTTCGGAAAAGAGTGTCTAGATTGGCACGGACACTTTTCCGCAAAAGCACTTTTTGCGGAAAAGCGTCCATTGCCAATCTAGACGCGCTTTTGCGCAAAAAAGCCCTGATCACCATTTTAGCCACCGGGGCTTTTTTGCGCAAAACAAATCTAAGCTGTCTACACTGGCCCT